GTTTTGAACCAAGGCTCAAGAACTAGTCCATAATGCCGTAATCCTCTTGGAGATCTAAGATAAGGAAGATAAGGTGGGTAGGAACACAGCTCTGAAGAAATAAAGAGTCCCACTCCAGAGAGAATACCAAGACAAGAAAGTACAAAAGAGCGAGGAACAATGCTTTTGCAATATCAGAACTTAAATACTGACCCTTTTATTAAAACAGCTGAAGGTTCACATGTTTTAAACGGGAAACTTGCAACGATGAGGTAAAAAGCTAAGATGTAATCTAGCTGATACAAATGATGAAGAAGGCTTGCTGCAACTCTTGCAGAGTAGTGGGATCACAGGTGACTTCTACCCTCCACCCCAAGTGTCGACACTTCCTGTGATGAAAGAGTATTTCTTTGTAAAAAAGAAATATATGTGGGGTCTTTTGTTGCTGATGATTTTTTATCATATTTTGAGGAAACTGAGAAGTAGCTGAGGGCAGAGACTCCCCAGGGATGAAGTCAATAAAAATAAGAGAAAGGTAAAGTGACAGAAGACAAACAATACATCAGATTACAAAACACACACTACCAGCCTGGGAAAGCTCTCTCTCCCCTTAGCATCCTGGACCATTCAATCCCAAGCCATGAGGCAGGGCCAACAGACAAAGGATGTGAGAGCACAAGTTAGGTGAGGAGAAAAGGGGAGAGATATAGTGATGGCGATTGGTGACTCATACCACACAGGGAAATCAATCAACTGAGCCAACACAACGAGGATGGGGAGAAAGAAAGAAACTCACTAACAGAGAAAGAAACCGCAAAGGAAAGGGAGAAAAACTGGGCTGAATCTTCTGGAATTAGAGGTATCAGATTAATAAACTCAAGGATTTCAAGACATACATAAACATATAAATCAATATAAACATAAAGGAAGCAGGTGTATATATGAGTGTGCCCAGTTCTGTACTGGAATCTGAAAGTGACAACCCAGAATTAATAAGCATACCTAATGCCCAGGTCTAGATTTCTAAATATTATTCTTTATTTTAAAAAAGCGGGGTGGTGGGGTGGTGGGGGTGGCGGGGGCAGGATTCTCTGTGGAAAGAGCAGACTCCAGGGCTGGGATAGGAAAAACACAAGATTAACCTGGTATATCCTACTACACTTGAAGGTAAAGAAGTTACCAAAGGTCCAGGCGCAGTTGGTTAACACCGGTAATCCCAACACTTTGGGAGGCCAAGGCAAAAGAATCACTGAGGTCAGGAGTTCAAGATCAGCCTGGCCAACATGGTAAAACCCATCTCTACTGAAAGTACAAAGGTTAACCAGGCAAGGTGGCATGTGCCTGTAGTCCCAGCTACTCAGGAGACTGAGGCATGAGAATCGCTGGAACCCAAGAGGCGGAGGTTGCAGTGAAACCAAGATCGCACCACTGCACTCCAGCCTGGGTGGCAGAGTGAGACTTCATCTCAAAACAAAACAAGAAATCAAAGAATGATTGAAGCATTTCAAAAGGTCACAGAACCAATATGAAGGGGCTCCTAAGAATCAAATCTGGGATAATCTAAGCATCAAAACATATAAGGAAGGTAATTAATTATAACCCACTGAATAAAACGGAGATCCATGAATGAATCAGTCCATCTGAGACAGAAAGTCAGTCCAGGGTGCGGGCGGGAACAGGGATAAATGTAATAATGGGTTATATATGTAGTCTTAAAGTAACTCTCGATGAAATACGTATTAATTACTAGCAGAAAAGGATAGCTGCCAGGGATATCTGGCAGACACAATCTTGATCAAGTGAAGTCATCAATTCCAATGCAATAAATCAAACCTGTACACCATCTGAAAGGATGCAATGCAAAAAGACAACATCCCTTCCATGGTACCCCAAATTGAGAAACATTGTACAAAATAAGGGGACTACAATCCTCCAAAATGTCAAGGACCTGAAAGCCAGGAAATCATTAAGGAACTCTTCAAAATTAAAAGAAAGTACAAAAACAAGCAAACAAAATATACGATTCAGCCACAGATTCATTACATATAATGGACAGCAGCGGGCAATCGGCAGTACCTGCAAGCCCGAAGACTAAATGGTCTTGAGGTATCAGCGTTACGTTCCTGATCTTGATGGTTGTACTGTGATTTATAGGAGAATGTACTTGACTGTAGGTAAAATGTACTAAAGTACTGAGGGGTGATAAAACACCGTATTAGTAACTTTAGCCCAAACAGTCCTGGCAGAGGGTGAGGGAATTTCTCTCTTTATACGGGAACAAAAAATGAGAAAGCCACAGGTCTTATTCCAGACATTCCCAACTACTTGGACTCCCTGAATATGTATATGTCAATAATCTTATACAAATTGTTGTGGAATACACCACAAAATTCATAGTAGGGTATCTGTCACATGAAATGCTAACTAAAGGCACAAGTTACTTACCAAATTTGGTGTGGGAGCTGGGGGCAGGGTGGTGGCAGGTGTAAGGAGACAACCTTACAATCTCTAATGGCCTCACTGATGCTGACTTTAATGCTCTATGAAGTTTACAGTCCAGTGAATGTTACCTAGAATCAGCCCTGGCTGTGGAATACTTTATTCTTAGCCCTATATTTCAAGTTTGGATGTCTGCTGTGCTGGTTCCCAGAGGTAGTAAGGGGACGAGAGGATTGGTTACATCTCCAGACCCACATACTTAAGATCCAGATGAGACAATTTTCATTCCTGCTTGGTAGAGCCTACCTGCTGAAGGTAATAGCTCCTAAAGAATGGTTCTAGGCCGGGCATGGTGGCTCAAGCCTGTAATCCCAGCGCTTTGGGAGGCCGAGGCGGGTGGATCACGAGGTCAAGAGATCGAGACCATCCTGGGCCACATGGTGAAACCCCGTCTCTACTAAAAAATACAAAAAATTAGCTGTGCATGGTGGTGCGTGCCTGTAATCCCAGCTACTCAGGAGGCTGAGGCAGTAGAATTGCCTGAACCCAGGAGGCGGAGGTTGCGTTGAGCCGAGATCACGCCATTGCACTCCAGCCTGGGTAACAAGAGCAAAACTCTGTCTCAAAAAAAAAAAAAGAATGGTTCTAGCCAGACCCTGTCTCTATAAAAAAAATAATAATAATAATGTTAATTAGCCAGGGGTGGTGACACATGCCTGCAGTTCCAACTGCTCAAGAGGCTGAGGTAGGATGATTCCCCAAGCCCAGGAGGTTAAGGCTGCATTGAGCTCTGACCACAGCACCGCACTCCAGCCTGGGCAACAGAACAAGACTCTGTCTCGAAAAAACAAGAAAAGAAAAATGAATGTTCCTGCAGATGAACCTAATGCTCTGGGCCTCAGCGGCAAGATGGAAGACAATACAAGAAATGCAGAGTAAGAGGGAGGATGGAAAACACCTTCTTGCCACCTTTCAAACTGGCTCCATCTTTGCTTTTACTAGACTGCATAGATCTTTGGGGTCATAACCACTATTCAAACAAATGCTAAGTAAGATCCACATTCTCTTTTCTAAGGAAAACATTGATTCTATGTGTAAGTACATGTACCTGCAGAAAAATCAGGTTACAGTAGATGATTCGTTCTTCCACCTTTGTGGCAGAATAACTTTCTCTTCCTCTTAGCAGGTAACTAAATGTATACTGTTCCTTAATCAACACACAAATGACCTGTATCTACTAGATAAATGATGTATTATTAAGATATATAGACCCCAAAATTCATTAATGCTTTATGGCCTGAACATGTCTGCATTTTCTGCCATTTATTTTACTGCTATATTGAATCTGATTTACTTTTTGAAAAATCTGTAGCAAATAATCTCACCAACTGCTCAGGAGTTCCAAATTCCATAAAACTAATGTTCAAAAGAGTAAGTTAAGTAACAAAGCAGCAGCTTTATAGTCATTTCTCTTTCTCCTAGATTCTCAAAGTTGGGTCTACATAAAGCATGGTGTCTAGATCATATTGTTCTTAATATTCATCACACAACATGCTTGCCCTTTAGGAGTTTCACTATATGCTCTTGGTCTTTACAAAGCATCAATACAAAAACACTCCACTTGAATAGTGTCTGTGTCTTCCATGAAATCATAGCTGAAAACATAACCCACTATGTCACACAATGGCAGAACCCCACAGAATGTCTTTTTCGTCAAGTACAATGCCAGGAAAGAATCTTTCTTTGTAAACAAATGTGCTTGCTTGTTTCCCACAGACAATGAATGCTATGTGATTCAAAGCTATACACAGAAAGGAATGGTTTTCGTTTAGTCTTATCAGTCAAAAAACAGAAAGTCAAGTAAGTGCACAAGAGTTATAATTAGCTCCGCTGAGGAGCCTGGTATACTTTCTCCTCCCTACGCTTTTAAAAATTATTTTAATTTTTTATTGTATTTTAATTTTTTGAGAGAGGATCTGGTTCTGCCGCCTAGGCAGCAGTGCAGTGGCACGATCCAATCTCAGCTCACTGAAACCTCTGCCTTCTGAGCTCAAGACTTCCTCTCACCTCAGCCTCCCGAGTACCTGGGACTACAGGCGTTTACCACCACACTCAGCTAATTTTTTGCACTTTTTGTAGAAGCAAGGTCTCACCATGTTGCCCAAGTTGGTCTTAAACTCCTGAACTCAAGCAATTTGCCCACCTCGACCTCCCAAAGGGCTAGGAATATAGGCTTGAGCCACTGCACCAGCCCCATGCTCTTTTTAGATGGTTTATTACATCCTCCAACTGTCCTGCTGTATACTATCTTTAATTCTAACAGACTTACGTCCTTTTAAAAGTACCTAGAATGTGCATATACATAGGCGTGTATTTCCTCTTACAATTTTCTTAAATTTTCTGATATCTTTCTATATACAATGACCTAAGAATTTAAAATGATAATGACACAAGGAGGCTAATTTAATGAAGACCAAGCAATCTGCATTACTAACCCCTCCCCCCTTGTCCATTCCACAAACAAATTATTAAGTAGCCTAATGGGGAAGGCAAGCCCCACACTGCCATGCTGGGCACATCACCTTTGCAGTAGTCCGCAGGGTCCTCTTGCTCCTCATCATCTGATCCCAGGATCTCCTCCTCTGGCTCTGGGGGTGTGGGGTCTGGCAAAGGTGGTGGTGGTGGCGGTGGCGGTGGAGGAGGAGGAACTAAAGGAGCTTTCTGTTGAGGCTCCGGCCTGAAAGAGCAGAGAGAAAATTCCCATTTACTGAAAAGTACATCTTGCATTCTGGATGCATTTCAGCACTTTCTTAATATGGGGAAAAAATAAAATTTGTCACATACTAAGAAGAAATGCCATTTAATGTCACTTCACCCATTTTAGTTGAATTCAATTAGTGTTTCAACATATAGGTCAGGCCAAAAAAAATAAATCTGCCCTTATTAGCTAAGAGATATTTTTTTAGGTATCTTTTCACTTAGAGTTTCAAGAACTACCAATGTTATGAAATTTCAGTGCTTCACTGAAGTCCTAGCAATCTTAGGAAATTTAAGTGAAATGAAAGCATATTCCATGGTATATAGCCTTATTGCTTAGAAAATATCACCAAGATTATAAAAATACAGGTGCAAGTAACACTCAACTTTTGAAAGCACTTATTTCCTATTATTTGAAAATCAGAATTATTTTCCCATAGTAGCAATGAGGCTAGGTTTCAAAAACTTATAAAAGCTGATTAATACACACTGTAGCTAAAATATACAAGATTGCCAGAAAGTTTCTTGTACTTCTTTAAAGCCTGTTGGAAGTTTTTAATGTATTCTGTGACAGAGAGAGAAAAAGAGGGGGGGAGGGGGAGGGGGACAGAGGGAGGGAGGGAGAGTGGGGGAGGAGAGAGAGTGAGTGTGAGTGTGTGTGTATGTGTGTGTGAGAGAGACAGAGAGAGAAAGAGACTGACTGATTATTCCCTTTCAGGGCTCTATGAGGAGAAAGGTTCATAATGGGAATCTATTCATAATGGGATTCACTTACTATTTCTAACCTTGTCCCAATCGGGGGAAATAGGATCCTACAGTCTCAACTTGGATGCCAAAAGGACATCCCTCCCTTAAGGTACTCTACGAATAAAACTACCACTAAACACATGCCCTGAAGATGGCGGCTGCTATGGAAAGGTTGCTCTGAGGGTCGGTTGCCTGACATGTGAGTGCCAAACCTTGGGGTATTTCTGCCACTGCAACCAACAGGCCTGCTACAACTGGAAGAATGAGCTTGACAAACATATTGTGGTCTGGTTCTGATCAAGCAAAATTATTTACCACCAGTTCCTTATACCATTCACCTGCTGTCATCTGGCATGCACCTTATTTTAAGGGTACAGCCATTGTCAATGGAGAGATGGAGAGTTCAAAGACCTAAAGCTTGATGACTTTAAAGGGAAATTTTTGGTGCTTTTCTTCTATCCTTTGAATTTCACCTTGGGTGTCCTACAGAAACTGTTGCTTTTAGTGACAAAGATAAGGAGTTTGCCAATGTGAACTGTCAAGTTGTTTCGGTTTCAGTCGATTCCCACTTCAGTCATCTTGCCTAGATAAATACACCAAGAAAGAATGGCAGTTTGGGGCACATGAACATCCCACTCTTGTCGGATTTAACTAAGCAAACTTCCCAAGACAATGGTGTGCTGTTAGAAGGTCCTGGTTTTGCACTAAGAGGTCTCTTCATAATCAACCCCAATGCAGTCACCAAGCACTTGAGTGTCAGATCTCCCAGTGCGCCAAAGCATGGAACAAACACTTCGCTTGGTGAAGGCATTCCAGTGCGTATGTAGAAATCCATGGAGAAGTCTGCCCAGCGAACTGGGCACAGATTCTCCTACAATCAAACCAAATCCAGCTGCTTCCAAAGAATGCTTTCAGAAGCCATATTAGTTGATGACCCATGTGTGTGGGGAACATTCCCGTGTGAGACCCCCAAAAGGCGTGGGTCTCACTATACAGTGAGTTTGATCCCAAACACAGTTTCCTACTGGAGGCAGTCGAATCAGAAAAAGGAACTGAATGACGACTGATCAGTTTCTAATATCAACCACGATATCGTTTGGGCCTAGTTTGGGCCTAAAACTATGCGGTGCTGCTAGACCGAGTGACTCCCTACCAGCAACTAGTTTCTGCTTTTAATCTTTATGACTCTTTAAGTATAGCTTTAACCATTTCTTTACTTGCCTGACTGCCTTGTACCCTAGATAATGGTTTAACTGTGGGGATATTTGCAAAGCAAATGCTACCATACATGATGGCTTTGATCCCTGACTCAGAATGAATGGAGGAGTTGAGATAAGTTGAGTCAGGAGCAGAGAAAGGAGAATCTGGTTAAAAGATACTCTGATGAGCAAAACCAGAAAACCTTTTCACATCTCAGTTCTAAAACAAGACCAAACCAGAAATACCTGCAGCCATGAGGAATAATGTCTGGATGTAAACAAGCTTTGTGGTCACAGGAAATTCTGTTACTTTTTACAACCACTGATTGTGTATCTGACTTCTCTGTTGTATAGGCCATGTAAGGTATAGATTTGCATTTCCTCTTGCAATGACGTAAACCAGAGCAAAGAAAGTGTATTTATTCCTGGCCTTTGAACAATAAAATTTGCTGTTTTAGGCACGGCCTATCCAGCCCTCCAGACGCCTCGCTTTCTCTGTCTCTCTTATTTCTTCAAGTGCACTCTCTCTTCCAGGTATTGGGACCCTCTTGCAGGTCAAGAGACCCCTGGCAGATGTGCCTACCCATCCCGACGGTCCCCGACACATGTGTACTGCACCTTCTTACCCCAGAGAAGAACCACAACTGAAAGCTGCTTTTATCATTTTGAAGATAATTATTAGTAGAAGGCAAGGTACCAATTATGCTTGCATTCATAAATATTACTCTAAATGTTTTATTTTTGTAATACTGGCTAAGACCTTTTATGACTAGTTGCTAGTATAAGGAAACCTTTATTAGTAACATCTTGGTGGCTAGTTAGCTAGTTTCTACAGAACATAATTTGCCTCCTCAGAAGGAGATTCTTAGATCACGTCTTCAATGGAAACACTCTCCTGTCTTAGACTTAACTTGAATCTTGCCTATAACAAAGTAGAGCAACATGCACTAAAAGCTCCTGATCTAGGGTCCTGACATTTTCATCTTGAGTATCTTTGTATTAAATTAAAGATCACAGCTTTGAGTTGTTATTAGCAGTCTAATTTAACTCACCTGCAATGAATGTGTATGTGATTGAAGCAAATGTCAATGGTATTATTTTAAAAAGTGGCAGAGTAACTTAAATGATCATGCATGATCCCTCATCTCCGAAATTTACAGTTCACATGATCATTTCATTTATCCATTACCTAACTTTGTCTATATACATTTCTAGATATTGATTTAGTGTAATTGATTATAAAAGATATTTATTGAATCCAGGGATTTCATTTTGAAATTCTTATAATTATTTTCTTGGCTGAAGTGTTTAGCAAATAATACATTTATTTTTATTGTATGCAAAACATACAATAAAAAATACTGTATTGTAAAACATATAATACAAATAAACGTATTTTAAAATTAAAAAAAAAAAAAAACTACCACTGAACATTCTCACCTGGCCACAACTGCTGTGTGGGTAAAAGGTGGGTGGGAACAGATAAATGTGGCAGGGGCAAGGGAGTCATTCGACTGATAAAGGTATTCCTCAGAGAGAGAATAAATAGAGTGAAATAAGGGGTCCCTAGTTATTGGGACCAAAGGAATCTTGGTGTCACTGCCAGATTTCCTTTCGGAACACTGTTGCTCTCTGCCCAGTGGAAGGCTGATTCTGGATCCTTTCTCTCCTCACTATAGCACCAGCCTGGGGCGTACAGCCAAAGCTCACTCTTCAGCCCTGGAATCTTGAGAAGCTGAGGGTCAAAGCAACATGCAATCTCATCTGTAGCTGCCACTAAAGAGACAGGGCCAAAGGAGCTGCCCCAACCACTGCCTCTTCTAAACTGGGCCTCTAAATCCTTGGCCAATCTGAGAACCCTCAACTTTACCACTAATGTACATGGTTTGCCAACAAAAAAACCCACAGCCACAACTAAAGGAAAGGGTAGGAGTAGAAGGCAGCAGAAACACCCAACATCATGAGGAAGAGGTGGGAATCACACACAGTAGATCACCTTTAAAGGTAAATACTGGAAGGTATGAATATCTTTGGCAGGTCAACTAAAGAATATTCATAAGCTGAAAATGTACTGCTTGCTGGAATTTATGAAGACTCAATAGTTACAGCTCCCTGGGTAATAGACATCATGACTGTGGTGGTGATAACACTCCGAGTTATAACCATTCTCCTCATAGAGCCCTGAAAGAGAATAATTACATTCTGTCTCTCTGTCTCTATCTGTCTGTCTGTCTCTCTCTCTCTCTCTGTCCTCTCTGTCTGTCTCTCTCTCTCTCTCTCTCTCTCACACACACACACACACACACACACCCCACTTCCAGAATACATTCAAAACTTCCAACAGGCCTTACAGAAATACAAAAATCTTTCTGAAAGCCATGTAAATGCTTATTTAACATATGTGCCCTTACTGAAAGCAGAATGGTCCCAAGCAAAAGAGAGTTCTGAAGGAGGCGAGGCAGGCAAGGTACTCCAGTAGTTTACCACTTCCCCAGCGGGAGGAAAAGGTTTGAGATGACGTCCAAAAGAAGCACAACCCACTCTCTTCAGGGGTGTGGGCAGAATCAATTTGTCTGACACATTTCCTCAATCAGAAATACTTTGAAACCCGGCTGTTTCTTCCTAATTCAGAAATTTTATATTAAAAAATGCATACATTCTCTGAATTTAGAAAAGAAAAAAAAAAAAAAAAACACTGAGTTTGCTGCAGAAACTACTTGATGAAAAGACAAGAAATGATGGCTCTTGTTCTGCCAGTGCAGGGCACTATTGTGCTTGGGACAATGGATTCTTGGAGTGGGTAATTCATTGTTGTGGGGCTGTCCTGTGCATTGTAGGATGCTTTCCAGCATCCCTGGCCTCCAGCCACTCTGTGTCAGTAGCACACAACCCTCAAGCCCTACCCCACCACCCAGCTGTGGCCATCAAAAATGTGTCTAGACACTGACAAACATGTGTGTCGAGAGTGGGGTGGGGGTGGTCATGCCCATTGAGAACCACTGCATGAGGAGCATTTTCTATGCATAGCTTTACC